GAGGAAATGCGTCTCTGTTTTCAGGTCTCATGAGCGTCTCCTGGTTTCACCCGACCGCCTGGAAGATCGTTTGATGACGATGGGTCTGCCGATGGGAACGATGGAGAGAGGGGCGGGAAGCGGGATGGTTCCCACTATGGGCCGACTGAGCCACCACCAGAAGGCCCAGTCGCAGCAGAACATATGCGCCACGCCGTCCATGGACCGACACCACATGATCAAGATGAACTCCCACCCGACATCAGGCCATGATCACGAGCGCAGCTCCGCAGCTCTGCCCGTCATGGGGATGCACGCCTGGGACTCCCACGGGGGCCACGGCGGAGGAGGAGCGGGGACGGGCGGAGGCCACCCCAGCGCCCGACGCATGGCCTTCGCCACCAAAAGGCAGAACACCATCGAACAGCTGCACTTCATCCCTGGAGGAGGAGGGCAGACGTTGCGGACTGGCAGTAAGAACGAGGTGACGGTGTGAGAGCGGGAGAAAGAGAGACGCACAGGCAAACAATGAGGAGAAGGAACGTAAAGAAGAGAAACGAGTTTTAACCCCAGCTGGCTGCTCCCCCTTTAAAGAAAAACAACAAAAAATGTGGTTGAATACAACATTTATGTCTTGTTAGTAAAGCCAATCGATGCTATTCTTGTCACTTTATGTTTTGAAAAAGAGAATATTCAGCCATTCTTTGCAAAAGGAAGAAAAAAATTCCTCATAAAAAGAGCAAAAAAGAATGCAGCTCAGAGGCTGCTGGGTATTCGCTGTGACTTTTATTGAAGGATATCCGCTGAGTTGTTGAATCATCCTTGAGTTTTATTGCACTGTCCTCTGAGTCCTCGAGTGCTCTGACAGAAATTCATCTGTCGTTGAATCCACTGTGGATGGTGAAGAGCGCCGAGCCTGGAGAGAGACAGGTTTGCTTGTTGTTGTATTTATAACGATATTTAGAACCAAACAAGTTACTTTTGTATGAAAATAACTTGATATTGATTATAACATGACTGAGCCCTGTAGGATTTCGTGTATACTTAGTTGAAAACATATTTATCCTCAAACCCAGCCGGTTTGTAACTTAATGGCTGAATTAGACGATCATCGCTTTCTGTAGATGTGATTGGACTATTTATGTCAAACTGCTGATTCACTCCAGCCAAGTGCAGTTAACTGTCATCTGTTGGCTTTACGGCTTCAATAATTAAAGATTAAAAATGAAAGATTTAGGAGGAAAACAACACCAATGCCACCTCATACTGCTGCAATAAAGGCCCAGTCACACCAGCACTCCACAAGAAAACCAAGTCAGAGGTCCAATTAAATAACCACTCGCCATTTTGTTAGATTTCTTCCTATTCTGGCATGAAGGAGGGCATTTTTACCCATTTACTCACATTCTAAATCCTCAAACACAAAAAATCAATTGGATGAAAAACTTCTGTAGGTTTCCAAATAAAATATTTCGTGTTGTTTCTGTGCTGTTTTATCATATTTTAGCCTTGTTCTCTACCAGTTTTCCAAAAAAGAGATGCACTGATCAGGCTCTGACCGACCGATGCCGATTCCCCATTTTCATTGAGCTCAGACTTGACAATCAAGCTGTTCTTTTTCAGAAATATAATCAATAATTTTATGTAAACATTATAAATATTAGAAAAAAAAAATTATAGAGGAAGTAGATCTAAACATAAACTTTACAGCAGCATTACACGTACTGTTTATTTTTGAGCTCTCAGTTTTGCTGTTATTACCCAAAAATGAGACAAGCATGTATTCTTTTAATATTTGAACAATTAAACACTGGTAAAACAATGAGGAAAACAATCAAGGAGGAAAACTGGCTGCAGAATTGATTGGTGAAAAAGTTTAAGGCAATGAGCCTTTAAATGTCTTGGAGAAGTGGAGAATGTCCAGCCAACCTCAAAGCTGAACTCAAAGGTTGATTTGCCACTTTTCTAATTGCTTAAATCCATGTAACAGCTAATTACGTATTTTCTTTCATTTGTAGTTTTAAAAGCCCCAACATACATCTGTGCAAAGCCAAATTTGTGCATAGTATTTCTCACCAGGATAGAGTATTTACAATTAAATGTTTAAACTCATCAAATGATACCATGGAAATGTGCAAAATAAAGGCATTTGTCTTGAGAACTTTAGAAATTGACACACTTGACTATAAAGGCTAAAGTTTTCTCGTAATTATGTGGGAGCCTTAAGGAATTACGGTACAAAAAACCTATTTGACCAAGCTGGCTGTTATAAAAGGATTTTTTTAAACAGGACCCAAGCTCAAATCAAAGTTAAAGGTAGTAATTTATATTTAACTAAGGTAGCACATGATGACGTTAGAATGTTAACCATTAATGCAGTTCTGCATCTATCCTCTGCAGCATGATGAATCCAATTCGTAATGAAATTATCCTGGTATAGATATTTATTTAATATGGAAAGGTCGGGTATGAAACGACAAAAAACTAAAAATTAAAAATGGCAAGGTTGCAAAATGACCAGAACTAATCTTTTTTTGTTGTTTTTGCATTTTGACATGTTTGTTTTTTTATGTAAACAATGCTGCCACCTATTGGCCTACTTTGGGATTTTCCTTGATAAGTTAAATTTTGTGGACTATATAAAAAAACAAACAAAAAAAAAACTTTTTTCCACTGTTTCAAATTGAGTATCTGCAGTGGCATAGAGCCTGATAATAATAACAATGATCTAAATTAATATTTATCAGTAGAAACTCGGTGACGCTTGTGTGGCTGGGCCATAAAATGAATTTTCAGTACGTAATCACTTTTTAAGCAAACTTAAAGCCTTGTACAGTTGATTCTACTGAGTGTAAATTTATCAAACGTATTAGTGAGAATGTTTGGAATTAGACCTCTCTCTCATTAAAAGCAACCAATCTGTGAATAAACACCCCCCCCGGCAATTTTTCAGACATTTAAACAGTACCTGGTAAAGTTTAGGGCTTCTTATTGCAGCACACTGGCATTGAAGAGACCCTCACGTTCCGTTCGTCCACGACGCCACACGCTTCCTGCAAGTTCAGCTGCTCACCTCGCACGAAGGGAAGGGAGGCAGACGGGTTTGAGCCGGGGGAACAATGGACACATCACACTAAGGGCTATACTGAATTTATCTTTGTGTGTCTGTGCTTTACACGGTGTCTGCTTCTCATTTTATTTTTTTTTATCTGTTGGGAGGCATGCTAGTGCTTATTTCCACCGATTTATTCTTTTTTTTATGTGTAAAGAGAAAAGAAAAATGCAGGGGAATTCTGCAAAAATACTAATTTTGTTGAATATTGTTGTGGGGCTTGGAGGTTTTCACTAAGATGTCATATTTTTGGAATTTTTGTTTCTCTGCTGATGAGATGGACCTCCTGGCCATGCTGGCTGGATTTTTTTTTTCATAGTAGAGTTTGATAAAGACTGATATGACTGATTATTGAGTGATGCTTCCTGCCAGCCATTTGTAGTTTTTTTTATTTGATTTTGTGTAGTCTTGTGTTATCGGTTTGATGAAAAAACCCGACCGCCCCAAATGAGACACAGTGAGCACTCTTATCATGATCTCCTCATTTAAACATTTATTTTTTTAAACTCTGTGAATTTTAATGTATATGCCTGAAATTTCAACTTTGCAACTTTATAGTGGAGATAAAAAATAAGAAATAAAAAAGACAGGGGAAACCAATTTATTCATGGGAACAAAAAGAGTTGATGCAATCATGAAGAAAAGACAGGCCGCATGATGATGTCAGAAGCCAGTGTTAGAGATGTCATGCTGACTTAGATGTCACGGCGTGTATGTGTCTTATTGTACATGAGTCTGTTTAAAATTTGTGTCCCTGTGTGTTCAAATCCTGGTCTTTCTTCATTATAGGAATGCTGAATCTTTATTTTGATTAAAATGGAAGGCGATACTTTGACCCAAGCTACAATTGTCGTTCATATCAACCAGTTCGTTTTTTTGTCTTCCACTTTTACCACTTTTATTTTTTCGATTTTTCTAGGAGGGACGTTAATAACTCATGCCACTTCAATTTGAACTTTTTTCACCAAAGCAAGGAATTTTTTAAACATTTCAAATTGTACATTTTTAAAGACTTATATGGTGACAAGTTTTAGTAGTTTTAAAGAACTGAGTGCATTGATTTATCGCATGGTTCATCAGTTTGTGTCGCTGATGTTTGACTGATTCGATTTTTAATGCAGCTTATTCATTTGTGCTCATTTTGAAAAGAGTTTTAAGGGTAAAGAAGTCGGAAAAGTTGTGGTACTTGCAGGGGGCATCAAACATAGATTTCATGTTTTGACGCAACAAACGCTGTTGCTGAAAATATGTTGTTGCCCGCCTTACTTGCTTTTAATGAACTAGGAGGAGAAAAAAAGAAGATGTTGAAACTTTATGAAATTTTTTGAAGTCTAACTCATGCCTCCTCATCCCTTCAGAGGTCTTTTACTGTTGTTGTAATCCATGTTGAGTTAATGGTTCCCTTAATGAAGCTGTGTGCCTGTATGTATGTGTGAGTGTGTTAACCCAGGGTTGGGGAGGGGGGCATGGGCATATTTGTATTCTCAAAGCTACTCTGCATACCTCAAACTGTATGATAAATTATTTATAACATTCCCTTATATGTCTATTTCCAAGAATATCCCAACAAAGGTCTCACAGATGTGCAACCCTTTTGTTATTGGTGATCAATTCTTGCATTTGTAGAAATCATACTGTTTAAATGATAACAATAAAAAATGTATCCAACTGAACCTTGTCTGTGATGATTCATTGCATGTTTTTAGATCAGGAAAGAAGACATTTTCTAGGAAATTAATGAGAATTATTAAAAATAAATAATGGGACATATTAACCCTTACTGGGCGCACATTGTCTTCAGTCATTAGGATGTTATCTTTCAGCTTATTTAGCTATTAGCTAAAGCAGATGGTAAATGGTACTTGTACAGCTCTTTATTAAGTCCAAGGACCTCAAAGTGTTTTAAACTATATTCAGTCATTCACAAACTGATAGTAGTGAGTTCCATTGTAGCCACAGCTGCCCTGGGGAACGCTCACAGAAACAGAAAAAGCAATTTACAGGTGCCACCGCGCCCTCTGACCCCAGTTAGTAGGCAATGTGGATAAAGTGTCTCACCCAAGGATACAACAAGGGACACGAACAGAGCTGGGGTTCCAACTGTTGAAGGTGTGGTTGCAGGACGACATCTTGCTTCCTACACCACTGCAGTTGGTTTGATCCAATAAAAAGAAAGAAAAGATCAGTTGTGTTTCTGAAACCTCAAATGGTCGCTCTTTCTACACATAAGGGAATATAGCAGTATAACAATGAACTGTAACTAGGGCACATAAATGTTTCATTTAAAAATAAATACATAGGTAAACAAGAAAGAAAAACAATTTTCTTTTTTTTGGGGGGGAGTTTGGATCTGTGATTGATTGATTGGTTGCATTTATTGATCTCACAGTTTACTTGTTACATCAGCTCAAATAGTCAAAGAAGAAGAATGTGCCAAAGGAAGAAAAAGATGCACGGGATATATATATGATAACATTTCAGCAGCTAGCTGGAAAACCAGCGAGATGTGACAATTATCATCCTTTAACAAGGTAATTCCCTCACTTTTAGGAGCTCATCTGCCAAAGGAACAGATGCAAATATGACGTGTCAGAGTTTAAAGAAAAAAAAAAATATAATAAATGAATTACATGCAAACATGTAAAGATGCTTTTATATTTTATGTAAAACATAAAAACACGTTACGCACTGAACCCAGGGGCCCAGATACAACATTGAGTGTCAAATTTCCAACTTTAGGGGGCATTACTGTTCTATTTCTGTCTATAAACTTGGAATATCCCACATACAAGCAGAAAGAGCACAGAACACTGAGGAAATCAAATTGAAAGATTCAGTGCGGTGTCACTACATGATATTAGCTCTAACTTAAAATACAAATCTAGTGCCGAAACATGGACATTATCCCTTTGATTTGAAGTCGCTCAATTTAAATTAGATTTAATCACCAACCAAAAAATGCAAAAATGAAAACTCAGTGCATCTTATAAGAAACAAGTAGATGACAATAATATTTCCAAGTAGAGCTAAAGAATAAAGACCTTCTTAAGGGGAACTTTGACCTCTTTAAGTTTGAATTTTTAAATGGAAAAGTCAGATTTTCAATTCCCAGGAAAAGACCAAATCATCAGACCTTATATTTTGTAATCTTTTATTTTTTATAACAACCATCATATACAACAGACATGGTATCGGCATCAGAAACCTGAAAAACCTGGAAAAGCCGACCCAGGTTGCTTCCATATTTACAGAAAGGATGAAAGAACAAAACAAGAACAGAACAAAAAAAAAAAAACACAAGAAAAAAGAAAACCAAAAAAACAAACACATTAGGGGTGTCTCATCAGTTCCAAAATGTTTATCATATTATACAGTTCTGCATCTTTGTCTGTGAATTTTAGAGATAAGAAAAGGTGGCAGAGTTCCTTGTGAAAAGTAGGGAAAGATGGTTTGAATTTAAGATCTGAGTAAGATTACAATTTATTTCAGAATCTGTTGTCATGTCCCCTGGTTATTTAATACATATAAGTTTTGAAGAGTTATTTAAAGAGTTTGTCCTGACTGATATCATTTCAGGGAAAAGAACTGGAGAGATAGAGCATCAAGGTGCATACAGGAGCCTCTTTATGAGGTGTGTTCAATAAGTAATGCCCCTGACCCACTTCTAGATGTTTGATCGAGCTGAAATTTTGCATGTGACGTTAATTAAATCTCTATAGATTAAATAGCAAATTACAACTCTGAACTATTTGTGGTTTCTGACTTGCAGGTGTTTGAACTGAGTAAAGTCTGAAATGGAGCCTGTTGAGTGTCTTAGCAGTGATCTGGTTTTTCTATTGGAAAGGAATCACACCACGGGAGACTTTGGATGAAATTAAACTAACTTATGGTGATGATGCCCGTTATATGACCTTGCAAAATGTTTTACAAGGTTATATTATTGTACATTATCACTATAAGTTACCCTTTATTTGATCAAAAGCCTCCTGTTGTGTGGGTCCTTTCAAATGCAAAAACTCAGACTTGACTCAGTTTTAACATCAGTAAATCAGAAACCACAATTAGTTCAGAGCTGTAATTTGCTATTTAATCTAGAGAGATTTAAA